CATACCGGTTTAAATGGCATGAGCAAAATTTGGAACATTGCACTCGCCAACAAACTGTTCCATGGAGGACCTTTTTCCGCGATGCACAAGGCAAACTAGAGTTGTTAAGTTCAACACAAAGTATGGAAAGAGATGCTGTAGYAGAGTAGAAGTAACAATTGAGTGATGCTCAAGAACTTGTGCCTAAAAAGGTGGAGGTTTTTGTTTGTGCGTAAATACTTTGGCTTTAAATGCTTGGATTTTAATTAAACAACGCTGCATGGTCCTGTTACAGACCATGGAAAATGAATGTTAAACAGCCGTGGTCAAAAAACTGGATAACCRTGTGATGCCAGGTTGCAAATATTTTTGTCCAAATAGCGATCCTTGCGTTGTAAAAGCATAGAGGAAGAGTAAGTGGCACTGCTATTAAAACTGTATCACTTCTAGAAAGCCTGTGTACTTGTGTGGACATGAGTGTAGTAGGCCATTCCTAGCCAATTTACTATAGTAATTTCCCTCTTAATCAGTAGAAAATGCTGCTAAACACAAACACACACACAGGTATGCAAGAAAAGAAAAATAGTGTGATACTGGCATATCTGTTAGAAGTAGCATGATGTAAAATTTTGGTCATACCACCTAGTACTAACCAAAGTGTAGCTCGTTATCTGTAACACTGAGTTTGAGGCATTCATGTGATTTTGTAATGAAARTAGCTGCAGCGGTCATCTTGAGTCAGATTGACTCTAAAMGTTAATCAACYGTAGATGTAACTCCAATGATTACTTTGAGATTTTCTTTCAAATCCATCCAAACTTTATGGGATATTCCCCTAACAGGTGGACAAATGAGCACATTCAAGCAATCACATGATTATTGTTTAAAAAAGTTCTCAAGTGTTGAAATATGAAATATTCCAAACACCCAAAAGAGTTACATTTATTTGACAAATATGCATAGTGAAAGTTTAGCTACCAATTTGATAAGCTGCTGTAGAAAAGAAAAAAGGCTTCACCAGTTGGTATTAGGCTCARTTAATGAGTTCAAATGAGTAGCCTGAAGCTAACCATATTAGCATCAGTGAGCTGAGCAATGATTGTTTTATCAGAGGGAGTTGTAAAGTTATTATTATTCTTTTTGTGTGTGTGTCTACATTCAGAGTAGGAAGTGCACAGCAGATGTGTTTGCTGATATCAACATCACACAAAAAAGTAAGGAAATGTGTGTTTGATCAAGTATTTCTTTGTTGTAGCAATTCTTTCTGGCAATAAATCACAAACTGTTGGAAAGCCTGTTTATTTCCCCTTGTGCTCAACCCACAAAMTACATTTGTGGGTTGAGCAGCAGAGTTGGAAATGTGTGTGAAAAAGTTGCCAAACCTTCTCTCTCAGTGAAACAAACCTCGTAGTTTAACTGCAACACATTGTTTTTCGTTGCTTTCTTTACAGGTTCAAATTGAATTTAGGCTTAATTGATCTCATCATAAGTTGGAGAATCTTTAATTCCCGGTACAATGACTCACAAGAAGGTTTACGATAAACTCTTCAATCAAAATTAAACAAAAATCCTGACTCTTACTTCTAACTACAGCAGCTTTTTTTTCTTATATATAAATCCCTTTAACGTTGCTCTCTTCTTATCACTATCAAATAGCGCATAAAGAGCATGGGTTGACAGGGTTTTCTTTGGATTACTTTCATTCTCTCGCAAAGAAAAGAAGAAAAACTTGCAGTATTCTCAGCCTCTGCCTTTCTAGCAGAATGAGTTTGTGGATTTCAAGGTATGAAAGCTCTGAGAAGAAGTGAAATTCATCTCGGCATAAATTCATATTGGTTGAGAGAAGATAATTTCCTGTTGCTCTGCCACAATGCCGTGGTTCGACTTTGGCTACACGTCAATGGGTCTGAGAATGTATTGTCCTTTGATTAATGCTGAAAAGAAGATTTGTTTTTGTTCTCTCAAAGGGGAGCTGAATATTCAAGTTTGATTACTAAAATTATATCTTCGCTCCTCCAGCTTTTATTTTTCTTTATTTTCATCTCCTGTACCAATGATTATCTAAATGTGAGTGAGCCTACCTTGAGAGCAGTTTTCACAGTAATGGAAGGCTATAACATAATGTYAGAACACAGAGAAAGAACCACTCCAGAATCTCCTTTTGGCTCTTCCAAGCACAGTGCTCCCTTTGATCATCAAATTGTTCTCCTGAAAAACCCTCTGCTGAAGTGGAAGCTAAATTTTCTGGGGCGACCAAAGCTTCTTAGGAGAAAGGGAGGAAAGGGGGGGAAAAGAAGGAAAAGCAAAGGGAACTAAATAAAAAGCTGAGGAAAATGAAACAAACTGAATAAGATAGCCTAAAAATGTATCACGGCCATTTGTGACGATGACAGAGGAAAACCTATCAAGGTCTTCAGGCATTACAACTGAAATCGTTTGTGTGTTCACACAAACACAAAGAGGAAAACTGGATAAACAGCTAGATTTGGTGTTGCATTTCTTCTGTTAGGGGATTTCTTTTCTCATCTTGAGAGAATACACTTAAAACAGTTGTATAGCCAGATAAAAGCTGTTGCAATTTAGACTCGTGAAGAAGTAATCCCTCTCCACCACATGTGATGACCCAGTAGAAGCGTGTAGTAGAAATCATTGCTGCAAAAAGCCTCATCTGTTTGTATTTTAGGTGAAGAGGGGTTTAATAAAGATGTTTGGTTTAAAGCGATCAGTAAAAAGCATTTTTATTTTTATTTTAGTGTTTTTAATGGAACTGCAAAGTTGCATACACTTGATATCAGCAAAAATGGAGGAGAGAAAGTCTGAATAGGTTTATGAACAGTAACCACTAATTAAATCTTTAAACTTTGGCTGCACAACGCATCAGTGATTACTAACACCAACAACAGTAATGATTTAAAAGAACTGCTTGAACTGCAATAAAACATTGTTTACAGTATTATGTTTCAAGTGTCATGCATTCATGAACTTATTTAACCAGTCTAGTAGAGTACTGCCTATGATGTACACACCCAGCTTACAGCGCAGACACTGGAAATTGGTGTTTTGCACTATTTTACACAATATCATAAGAGTCTGTTAGCATTTGGAATATGTGTTGTGAATGACTCTCAGCTACTACCTGATAAAACTTCAGCTCAACCTGTAAAGTTAACAGAGTTTAAGCTATTTTTGTGTTTTCTATGGTCAGTTGGCTGAGGCAGCCAACTTGAGTCGGGTCGACTTTAAAATCAAAACAGCTGTGTCAATGTACGTCCAACGGTTACTTTAAGAGTTTTTATTCAAACCCATCTAGTGATTTGTATGATATTTTGCTAACAGACTGTGTTGAATTCAATGATTGTTGGTAAAGTTTTAAATAGAACTCTCAAATCTTCAAAAATCACCAAACAACTAATGCTTTGATGAGTCATTTGTACTTCAGACCAACGTACTGCTGTTTGTGTTTTCTTGTATTTTTTTGTTGCCCGGTTGTACTCAAAGATTTTTCCCCCCTAAATGGTGAAACAACTTTGTTTTGTTTCCGTCTTTTAGTGTTACTGTTCTCTGGCATCTACTGTGTTTTCTCAGAAGTCCTTCCTCTTGAAGCTAAACTACTTTTAAGCCCTGTCTCTACAGGTGTTGCTTTAAGTGCTTCGCATGTGGACAAATGTGCCTCCATTTCCAGTTCCTGTGTGGTTTTTGGATACACCCCAGACGTAGTTCCAGGCAAGTCAAACTGAGTATTGCGCACAAATGATTTTGACGTCAGCAGACTGCTGCCTGTGGATTGACTGAGCCAACACGGAACTTGCAAACTCCTCCTGGAGAGAGACACAGGCCTTTTTAGCCTTTTTAGTCATTTTAGATTTTAGGGGACGAGCTCATACAAGTTGTACTCGACGAAGAAGTGAACAGGTATTTGGGGGGGCTCAGACAAAACTGGTCGCCCGCTGTTACACGTGCACTTATAAACAGTGCTGCAGCATATGTGAGACTGCCATGGAGGCACACATAAACTTAAGCAGAATCAAAACAGAAATGAACCAATAAAAGGGAGACTTGAAAATGGAGAAGAGGCTTTATGTTGTTTAAGTTCGTTCCAAAGATGAACATGATGCTTAAATCCTCAGTTTGTCCACTCTTTACTGGTGCGCTCATATGACAGCAGACAATTATTTTAGTCTTAGAACTTAATAATCGTCACACAAGTACATATTTTACAGAGACTAAAGTAAACAAATCAATGTCCTTTATACTTTGGATAAACCAAGAAAACTAATTAAACATAGGCAAACAATGTTTTTAACTTTAGTAAATACGTTTTATGCTAACTTGACACATCACTTCAATTCAAAAACAAGGTAAACTGCTCCAGCTGAGATATATTGTATTTGTTTGGGTCATCAATAAACATGTATTACAGAAGAAAAGGAAAAAAGACAAGTACACAAAAATCTGTGTTTTAGCCATTTTGTTTACAGCCAGAGATGCTGCTATGTACTGTCTTGTAAGAGGGACGCTCAACGAGTAAAGTGAAACAGACAGCAGCATTCTCGCAGACGGCAGCTTGAGGGAAAATCACTGTTGGGAAAAGGCTTGTTTGTCCTGTTCAGAATTTAAATGAGTGAGGAGGGAACCTGTTTGTACAAGAGACAACACTTTGCCCAGGCAGTCAGACAAGACTGTTATACAATAACCATTTAACACTTCAAAAAAACAGATTTTAGCAGGTGCAAGAAGACATTTTGGCAAGAGCATTTTTTAACACCTAAAAGCTGGGCGAAACCAAAAACTAAAAGCTTCCACCTTCCGATCCACTTCTGATACCTGTCTACAAAAAGGTCTTAAAAGAAACAAGTAGTTCTTTTTTAAATCAAACAAAAAGCTTGAGCAGAAAATAAAAGTAGAACCCGAAACAACAAAAGACCTACAAAAAGGTTTACAAAAGTTCTAAAATCTACATCATGAAACAGCATAAAAAGATGTCAAAGAAACCTGTGGCTTGGACTTTATAAATAACTTACCAGCGCTTCATCCTCAGAAAGAACCCGCTTCTCATCATGAACAAGCACCACTTTAGCCTTGACTTCATCCACCGATATACTGTAGGGGTTACAAAGTAATCACATTAGTATTCCTTCCAGCTGGTCCGTGAATATTAGAGGTTGATTTTTATTAAGATCTATTGAACATACGAAGGTCATAACGGCGCCAGAGTTCTGTTACATCATGTGCTTAAACTACAGAGCTTCAACTTCATTTGATGTGATGGGATTTAAAAGTTTAAATTAAAAAATATATATGCAAACATTAAATATTGTACTTGTTTAAAATATTCAATGTTTTAATTAACGTTTTGCTTTTTATGGAAACCCAATAAACCAGCCTGTAATAAAACCACAATTAGCTCAATAAACACAACCATATGTTGGCCAGATTTGGCAATGTTTCTAAGATAATGTGTCACAACTGGCCCAGTTGTGGTTTGGTTTATGTGGCCCAAATCTGTCAGTGACATAACTGGCCCAGTTGTGGTTTGGTTTATGTGGCCCAAATCTGTCTATGCCACAACTTGGTTTATGAGTGCTGGCCCATACAGTACATGGACCACCTCTGGCAAACTACATCTGGGCCACCAAACAACCATCATTCTTTGCAGAATCTGGGCCGACTGTAAGCAAAATTGGTCTGGCCCAGTTCTGGCCCACTATGAACTATGTATGTGGGGTATATAAGGTCTCAAGTAATCCCGCATTTTTATTTAAAGCTTTTAATTAGCTAGCTTTTGTTTGTAATCTTTTAAAAGTAGTCTTCATTCTTGGTTCTTCCATCTTTCTGAACTTATTTTCTTTGGAATATGGCTGCTTTTTCACAAATTTTCCATCAAGGACGCAACCAATTTCAGAGGAATGTTTTTTATTTTTGTTTTTCTTTGTTAAACCACTTAAAAGTATGGCTTACAGTTTATATCATTCACTCAGAATAAAACTCATTTAACTGAAGAACCAGTGTTGTGTCGAGATTACTGATAACTTTGTAATAAACCAATTTTAGATGTAATCTTTAGACACTTTGCAACCAGCAGTCGGTCTCAAAGACAATTTGTTCCCATTTCTTTGGCATTTTCATAGATTCTAACATAAATAACAGTTTGACAGCCAAGTAGTGTTTTAAAATGATTAAGGTGATTCCCAAAGAGCCGTTAGCTGAAAACATAAACAGTGATGATGAACTAAATCAGTACGGTAGTTCCCAAACTATTTTCCTCAAACCCCCCTTTCTTACTTCCAAGCCAAGCTGACCCCCCTCCCCCAAACACATGTTCAACCATATTCAGACAAGGTTATGGAACCAGGTTGGGAACCACTGAACTAAAGGATGAATCTCAGGTCCTGTGTCAGGCCTTTGATAGATTTCCTTCTGTCACTTAAAGACATAATTTTCAAATGTTGTTCATCAGTCTTGCACCTCTTCCTTTGTCTTCCTTAAGTCCATTTTACTCATTTCATAATGGTCAGAAACAAAGTCTTGACAGGACAATGAGCGAAAAAGCAGCTTGAGTCCAAAGAAAAGCTTGAAAAACTCAAAGAATGATTGACAAAACCACTTTAATAGATTACAATAAAGTCTGGTTCTTAGCAGAAATGTATAAAGAAATCAGTATAACAATGCTGTACGTGGGCAATTCATTTTCTTTTGTCCATCTCTCACAATACTATACACCACACAATATAATCAAAAATCACACACATGCACCAGCGTTTTTTTCCCACAACACTTAGATCTCATCTTCAGCCATTCTTCCTGGCTTGTGTCTTCCTTCTGGAGGTTAAGTCTAAACTGCCCCTTACTGAGCTGAGATAATGACTGCATAGCCAGAATCAATCCCAGGAGTGCATCAAAAACGGAAGTGCAGGCAAACATACAAAGCAAGTAGCCTGTTCCACTACAGAAGATCGATGCTCGGGGTAAGTACTCAAGAGAGACAATGGCTTTCACCATTGTGAAGCAGTAAAAAAAATGAAAAACGTTGGGAAAATCTGCTGCGAGCAAAATTGGCTTTGACCCCAATCACATTTATAGGCATATAAACCACTGCATCGTAAGTGCTTCACTTACACACACCTATCATAGGTCTTACTCACAAAAGCTGTAATGAAAATTAGGAAAGTTGCATAATGATGAATCCTGACAGAGGGGACTGGATAAAAAGCACAACCTGTTCATGGGCCTTTGGGAGGCTCCATCATGGTTCATTTCCTGAAGCAGTTGGTGGACTCTATTTATAGGCCAGCATACTTGTACCAGTTAATCCTGCACTGGGTTGCCAACTGCCTGCCAGCTGGCACAGTTGCTTGCACTTGCATGTGTGTGGTTGCACAGGAAGGGTTTGAGATGAAAGAATGCTGAGAATCTGCATTAATGACCAATAATTGATGGAGTATTTACCTCGTATGGCTAAATGGTAAACAGAAGCTTCCGCGTGTAACCTTTTAAAAACTACCCACCTAAGATCTGAATACAAAATATTTAAGACCATGTTTGTATAATTCAACCTATTCAACAGAGTATAATGGAGTTGTTGTTTTGTTTGAGAATGCATTCAGAACTTTCAGGAAATAAAAGGTTGCAGTTTTTGTCATGAAGCAATTACTGGTGACTAAATGGACACAAATGAGATTAGTTCATCGCATAAATGAGAGAATAATCATCTGTGAATCTGCATTAACGATAATTAGCAATTCCAATGAAGCAGATTAGGAATGGGGTAACGTTTTGCTAAGTGTCATTAGGGACAAAGGCAGACAAATACCTTTTTTTTTTGTTCTACACAAAAAGGGTATGCAGGATACATGCTAATCCGGTAAGCAAATTGCCTGGCAACTGCGAGCATCAGGTATCATTTTTGACATTAGGATTATAAGGGAAGCAGCTAAATCAAGGTTGACAGTTTGAGCTCGAAAGCTTAACAAAAAAAAGGTAAAATAACTCATAGGTCCCATTCAAATTTAATAACCTTATTATGATTTTGGCAATCTACATAACTTTGAATGCGAAACACTATCATATTTTTAACACTTCGTTTAATGAAGGCAACCATGAAGCTGCTAATCTCTTAATTTTCAAATAAGTGTTTGCCAACTATTTACAGGTTGATGCTTTCCTGCATACATCCCAAGCTCTTATGTACCGGTAGATTCCCAACAAAACTACAGGGTGGGCCATTTATATAGATACACCTAAATAAAATGGGAATGGTTGGTGATATTAACTTCCTGTTTGTGGCACATTAGTATTTGGGATGGGGGTGGGGGACTTTTCACGATGGGTGGTGACCATGGCGGCCGTTTTGAAGTCGGCCAATTTGGATCCAACTTTTGTTTTTTTTTTTCCAATGGGAAGAGTGTCATGTGACACATCAAACTTATTGAGAATTTCACAAGAAAAACAATGGTATGCTTGGTTTTAATGTAACGTAGGGTTGGGCAATATTGTCAAAAAAATTAATCACGATTAATTATGGTATTTAGCCGATAACGATTAATTTGACAATTAATCCCCTGTAGTCCCTGGACAATCTTATGTCCTAGTCAAATGACCAATTTAATGAGAAAGATTTGCTCTTCATAAAAATCTGTTCCAAATTGTGTTAAAATTACAGACTTCAGGCTATAAAACAAATTTTAAACTGTGTTGATAAATAAATAAATTACAGAACTTTTTTAAAATTTTTATCATATTTGAAGCGGAGATGAGCACCGAGCACACTGACTGGAGAAATTTTCAGTCAGTCTGCCTGGTGGCATTAATCGTATTAATCGTCAAGTGACAAAAAAATAATTGATTAATGTTTTTCTGACGATTAATTGCACACGATACGATTATGCCCATCCCTAATGTAACAATCAACAGATTTGTTGCTTTACTCAAAATTAAGTGGCCTGAGAAGATTTGTAATTCCAGCTAATGGACAAGAACCTCCCAGAAGTCAATCAGCCAGGAGGTAAAGAAGCTAAAYGGAGACAGGATGTTGTGTAAAGTAGCTGATAATGTAACAAAGTATTTGACTGGAACCCAGTGGGAAAGATAAAATCTGAAAGGCCAAAGCAGACTCAGAGATCTATGATTTTGATGGGATTTTCCTGGTTAAATAAAGGTAAAAACAAAGTTGGATTGCAGGTGCTCATTAGCCATGAGTCCACAATAGCCAATCCTGCTTCAAATTCTCAACAAAGAATCAACACCAGGGCATGTGAGCTCCAACATAATGATTTTAAAAAAGCCAGTTCAATGTTTTTGTTCAACTAAACACTAAGTGCCATTTACCTCGTCTCATTGCTATGGCTGAGCACTGCTAACAATCAATAACTGAGCTCTACATGGTATTTCCTATATAGAAACAGCATTTTAACACATCCTCATATAAACGCAGAAAAATACTGTTTGAGACTGACTAAATGTGAAATAAATAATACAGAAATACTACGAAAAGTAAAAGTTTTACTCGTTTAATTTTGGTGAGTCGCTGCCATATTGAATTCTGAACTCTCTCACTATGAATTCCTATTGGAGGGGCGTTTCAGTTTAAATTTACTACTTGAGAAATTCCCCACTTCCCAGTAAAACTGGGCTGCAGCAAAAGTAGCCAGCTATTTTTAAACCTGTGCACCTCCATCTAGTGGTGGGATACTGTCATTTTGCTGGCAGATGTCATTTATGGTCAACTCTGGTTTTAAAGCAGCTTATTTTAAAACATWGATAAACTTTTAATGCTCTTGTGGGCCACATAAAATACTTCGGCRGGCCACATTTGGCCTGCGGGCTTTCAGTTTGACATGTGTTATTAACACTGATAACTCACTGCAATCCTATTATTACTTATTTAAAAACCTTGCAAAACACAACAACATTTTGGCATATTTTCATTATTTATTTTTTTATATCATAGCAGAGTTAGCACTTATTGCATAGAGGGCTGTTCACACAAAATTTTCATTTCCTGCCTTTATTCAAATGAACATCAAGTCATGGATTAAGATAGCCAGCTCACTTAGTCCAGCGGCTGACAGATTGAGACAATGGATGTGTGTTAAAACGCGCAGTGCTTGCAGATATTTTAGCTTACTAATGTGTGTGTTTAAGCTCAAAAGAGACAGGCTGCTTCGGGTGGAGGGGGGTGGATTGAGTGGATGGGCGATTTTGGAGCTCTGAAGGGAGGAGGGCGGAATATTGATACACATCCAATTGCAGAAATGCATTAACGGGCACACAGCGCTCCTCTTAGCAAAAACGGCTGCAGAGGCATTTTTATCCTAGACGCCATGAGTTTTTTAGCTTTTTTGCTTTACTCTGCCCAGCTGTGTTTCATTCTGGGAGAATACACCCTGTTAGCTTAAGCAGCATTGATTTTTTTTCTCTTTCTTTTTTCACAGGCATGGTAAGTGAGGATGGCTGTAAAGACCACGAAGAGGACAGGAAAGCTTATTGGGTATTGGGTGTTCTAGTTTTCTGCCAGAGTCCAATTTACACGTCTCACTTCAAGGCCAATTTCTGCAAAGTTGACCGAAATCCAACACTGATCATGACTGGAAGTTAGTCATCTTGGGCTGCTGAGATGAAGAGCTGAGACTCTTATATTAATTTGCTTTGAGTTCCAAGCATTGTTTTAAAATTAAAAAGTTAATTTATGGAGTCAGAAATTGCAATAAACTGTAAATCATCCACATGCTACTCACCTGCCATCTTTATTGCTGTCCAGGAATTGGAAAAGGCTGATTACAGATGTATTCTGAGGTCTAAAACCTAAAAAAACAGATATAAGACGTATTATAGTAACCTAGCGAAGAAGTAAAAAAGCCGTGTAGATTTTGTTTTTAATCATCAATCAATGATATCAAATTTCAATACAAACGTTAAGAGTTAGGGATAAAAATGGGGAAGGATGGTGAAGGAGGGGCACTGAGCTAAAGCTTAGATTTAAAAATATGAGGGGAGAGAGGGCAATCAGGCAATGAGTCAGTCATGCTGTGCAAGAACATTTGCTTTTACTGTAGGGAGAAAAAAAATGAAGCRTGTCAGAGTCCAGAATGCAATCAGGAGGCTTTGTGCCGTAACGGCTGGTATGACAGCGATTTCCTTCTTCTCCCTTCATGTTCAGAGGCAGATGAAAAGGAGATGCAGAAAAACTTCCTAAGCACCCCCACCCACCCACTCACTGGCAAGCATGTGACCCCAACTGATTCATTTTGCGAGGCGCATTCATCGAGAGAAAGAGGAGGAAGTTCTCTGGTGTTTGGTGCCGAGCGTCTCCCAAATCATGCGCTGAACGGAGAATGTAAAGGGGGCAAAGTGATTGGCCCTGAAAGTCTGGGGAAAAGCACTTTACATAATGCTAATTGCACATCCGCCGCAATTACCTTTCTGTTCTAATTAAAGAAAAGCTAATTGCGAAATTAGCCTCCCCCCTTTTTCTTTCCAYGGTGTACAGTACAAAGAGCTTAAACAGTGTGAGCTGTGAAGACCAAAAAAAAAAAAAAAAACAGCTACACCTGATTTCGTAAATTCAGCTAAACTTTTAATACATGTTTAATGAAACTCTGTCTCGCATGCTAAAGTTTTAAATAAAGGTCTTATAAGAAGAGCAGCACGACAGACTGAGCATCATCATCATCACAATGTAGGTGTGCTGGGATGTAGGCAGCAAATTACTAAACCACAAAACCATAAGTCATTGCATTAAACAGYAGCGTGCTATGGCTTTTATTTTGACAGGTTGCTTCCACTAGCCGAAGTGGGTGGCTTTGTGTCAAAAAGGCTGAAACTTTCATTTTGTTTCAAAGATGGCAGTAGAACTTAAAATCTTATTCAAGTCAATTGTGGAAAATCCCTGTATTTTTATATGTACATATATCGCAGGCGWAGAAAAAATTGCAATGTCAGTTTTTCCACTACTGTGATGCTCGTTGTGTCCAGACTAACTGTTTAGAATGACAATCAGCTACTACCACACCAATTTACAACTCAATATCTGTAAAGCTGACAAAGTTATACCAGTTTTTGTGTTCTCTAAGGCATAGATTCTTAACCTATGGGCCGTGGCCCAATTGTGGGCCACAAGCGCCACTTTGAGGGCCTCAAAAGAGCAATAGTTTTTGACTTTGGGCCGCAGAGGGCCGTGGGACCACATYSATTTTGAATAAGGTGCAATACACTTTCTCACCACTAGTAGCAGTACTGCACCAACCAGACGTTTAACAACTTTTTAATATGTAGAAGAAGAACCTCAGATACCTGCCAAAAATGGAAACCTATTTTAAATGAAAAGTAGAAGCAAAAATGAAAGCAACCCGTCAAAAAACACCAAAGTTTATCACTAATATGAAGTACAGCTTCTGGTTCTATCATGCAGTATTTTAAAAGTTCCAACACATGATCAAATACAGTTGCATATACTGCTATATTTTAATTTGCACTTTATCAAATTGTTTTTGTGGTTTATTTTTAACATTTTTAAAGTATTTTAAAGAAACTTTAAACTTGTCAAAAAGCTGTTGTTACTGTT